TGTGTGTGCGGTGTGTGTGTGTAGAGGATGGCGAGTGAGTACGTGTGTGTGTGTGTGCGTAGAGGATGGCGAGTGAGTACGTGTGTGTGTGTGTGTGCGTAGAGGATGGCGAGTGAGTACGTGTGTGTGTGTGTGTGTACGTAGAGGATGGCGAGTGAGTACGTGTGTGTGCGGTGTGTGTGTGTGTGTAGAGGATGGCGAGTGAGTACGTGTGTGTGCGGTGTGTGTGTGTGTGTGCGCGTAGAGGATGGCGAGTGAGTACGCGTGTGTGTGTGTGTGTGCGTGGAGGATGGCGAGTGAGTACGTGTGTGTGCGGTGTGTGTGTGTGTAGAGGATGGCGAGTGAGTACGTGTGTGTGTGTGTGCGCGTAGAGGATGGCGAGTGAGTACGTGTGTGTGCGGTGTGTGTGTGTGTGTGCGTAGAGGATGGCGAGTGAGTACGCGTGTGTGCGGTGTGTGTGTGTGTGTAGAGGATGGCGAGTGAGTACGTGTGTGTGCGGTGTGTGTGTAGAGGATGGCGAGTGAATACGTGTGTGTGCGGTGTGTGTGCGGTGTGTGTAGAGGATGGCGAGTGAGTACGCGTGTGTGCGGTGTGTGTGTGTGTGCGTAGAGGATGGCGAGTGAGTACGCGTGTGTGCGGTGTGTGTGTGTGTGTAGAGGATGGCGAGTGAGTACGTGTGTGTGCGGTGTGTGTGTGTGTGTGCGTAGAGGATGGCGAGTGAGTACGTGTGTGTGCGGTGTGTGTGTGTGTGCGTGGAGGATGGCGAGTGAGTACGTGTGTGTGCGGTGTGTGTGTGTGTGTGCGTAGAGGATGGCGAGTGAGTACGCGTGTCCGTGCGTACAAGGGAAGCCCAAGGTGGCGTTCAGAGAGTCCATCCTGGCGCCCGTCCAGTGAGTAGTGCACCACACCCTGCACCACACCCTGCACCACACCCTGCACCACACCCTGCACCACACCCTGCACCACACCCTGCACCACACCCTGCACCACACCCTGCACCACACTCTACACCACACCCTGCACCACACCCTGCACCACACACTACACCACACCCTGCACCACACCCTGCACCACACCCTACACCACACCCTGCACCACACCCTGCACCACACCTTGAACCACACCCTGCACCACACCCTGAACCACACCCTGCACCACACCCTGCACCACACCCTACACCACACCCTGCACCACAGCCTGCACCACACCCTGCGCCGCACCCTGCGCCGCACCCTGCACCGCACTCTACACCACACCCTGCACCACACGCTACACCACACCCTGCACCACACCCTGCACCACACCCTGCACCACACCCTGCACCACACCCTGCACCACACCCTGAACCACACCCTACACCACACCCTACACCACACCCTGCACCACACCCTGCACCACACCCTGCACCACACACTACACCACACTCTACACCACACCCTGCACTACACCCTGCACTACACCCTGGACCACACCCTGCACCACACCCTGCACCACACCCTACACCACACCCTGCACCACACCCTGCACCACACCCTACACCAGACTGCAGTACTGCACTACGTACCACGTGATGCCCTGTACACAATGCCAAACGTGGTGGTTATGGTTGACTCTGGTTATGGTTGACTGGTTATGGTTGATTGTGGTTATTATTGTGGTTATGATTGTGGTTATGGTTAATTGTGGCTATGATTGTGGTTATGGTTGATTGTGGCTGATTGTTGTTATGGTTGATTGTGGCTATGATTGTGGCTATGATTGTGGCTATGATTGTGGTTATGGTTGACTGGTAATGATTGTGGATATGGCCGATTGTGGTTATGATTGTGGCTATGATTGTAGATATGATTGTGGTTATGGTTGACTGTGGTTATGATTGTGGCTATGATTGTGGCTATGATTGTGGATATGGTTGATTGTGGCTATGATTGTGGATATGGTTGATTGTGGTTATGATTGTGGATATGGTTGATTGTGGCTATGATTGTGGTTATGGGTGATTGTGGCTATGATTGTGGTTATGGCTGACTGTGGCTATGATTGTGGATATAGTTGTGGTTATGATTGTGGCTATGGTTGTGGCTATGATTGTGGATATGGTTGTGGCTATCATTGTGGCTATGATTGTGGATATGGTTGACTGTGGCTATGATTGTGGATATGGTTGACTGTGGCTATGGTTGTGGTTATGGTTGACTGTGGCTATGATTGTGGATATGGTTGATTGTGGCTATGATTGTGGCTATGGATGATTGTGAATATGGTTGTGGATATGATTGTGGATATGGTTGATTGTGGTTATGATTGTGGCTATGATTTTGGCTATGATTGATTGTGGATATGATTGTAGATATGGTTGATTGTGGTTATGATTGTAGATATGGTTGATTGTTGTGGTTGTAGCGAGTACATCCACAAGAAGCAGTCTGGCAGGTCAGTGTGATGATTGTGGTTGTGATTGTGGTTGTGATTGTGGCTGTGTTTGTGATTGTGGTTGATTGTGGGTGATTGTGGCTGTGATTGTGGGTGGTTGTGGCTGTGGTTGTGGCTGTGGTTGTGATTGTGGTTGTGATTGTGGTTGTTGTTGTGATTGTGGTTGCGATCGCGGCGAGCTTCGAGGTTCATTGCGATGTTTGTGGGTGATTGTGGCTGTGATTGTAGTTGTGATTGTGGTTGATTGTGGTTGTGATTGTGGTTGATTGTGGTTGTGATTGTTTGTGATTGTGGTTGCGATTGATTGTGGTTGTGGTTGATTGTGGTTGTGATTGTGGTTGTGATTGATTGTGGTTGTGATCGCGGTTGATTGTGATTGATGATTGTGGTTGCGATTGTGGTTGATTGTGATTGTGGTTGATTGTGATTGTGTTTGTGATTGTGGTTGATTGTGATTGTGATTGATTATGATTTGGCTGCAATTATGGTTGATGATTGCAGTTGACGATTGCGGTTGACGATTGCGGTTGATGATTGCGGTTGACGATTGCGATTGTTGACGATTGTGGTTGATGATCGCGGTTGACGATTGCGATTGTTGACGATTGCGATTGTTAACGATTGTGGTTGATGATTGCGGTTGACAATTGCGATTGTTGACGATTGCGATTGTTGACGATTGTGGTTGATGATTGCGGTTGACGATTGCGATTGTTGACGATTGCGATTGTTGACGATTGTGGTTGATGATTGCGGTTGACGATTGCGATTGTTGACGATTGCGATTGTTGACGATTGTGGTTGATGATTGCGGTTGACGATTGCGATTGTTGACGATTGCGATTGTTGACGATTGTGGTTGATGATTGCGGTTGACGATTGCGATTGTTGACGATTGCGATTGTTGACGATTGTGGTTGATGATTGCGGTTGACGATTGCGATTGTTGACGATTGCGACCGCGGCCAGCTTCGAGTACACCCACAAGAAACAGTCTGGAGGTGCGGGGCAGTACGGCAAGGTGGTGGGCGAGGTGCAGCCGCTGCCGGCGGAGGACAACACTCGGCTCGAGTTCGCCGAGCGGCTCGTGGGCACCAACATCCCACGGCAGTTCGTGCCCGCGGTGGAGAAGGTGGGCACACGGGGGGGGGGGGGGGGGGGGAGGTGGGCACACGGGGGGGGGGGGGGAGGTGGGCACACGGGGGGGGGGGGGGGGAGAAGGTGGGCACACGGGGGGGGGGGGAGGGGGGGACACGGGGGGGGGGGGAGGTGGGCACACGGGGGGGGGGGGGGGAGGGGGGGACACGGGGGGGGGGGGGAGGTGGGCACACGAGGGGGGGGGGGGGAGAAGGTGGGCACACGGGGGGGGGGGGGGGAGGTGGGCACACGAGGGGGGGGGGAGAAGGTGGGCACACGGGGGGGGGGGGGAGGGGGGGGAGACACGGGGGGGGAGACACGGGGGGACACGGGGGGACGGAGACACGGGGAGACGGAGACACGGGGAGACGGAGACACGGGGAGACGGAGACACGGGGAGACGGAGACACGGGGAGACGGAGACACGGGGAGACGGAGACACGGGGAGACGGAGACACGGGGAGACGGAGACACGGGGAGACGGAGACACGGGGAGACGGAGACACGGGGAGACGGAGACACGGGGAGACGGAGACACGGGGAGACAGAGACACGGGGAGACAGAGACACGGGGAGACAGAGACACGGGGAGACAGAGACACGCGGGGAGACAGAGACACGGGGAGACAGAGACACGGGGAGACAGAGACACGGGGAGACAGAGACACGGGGAGACAGAGACACGGGGAGACAGAGACACGGGGAGACAGAGACACGGGGAGACAGAGACACGGGGAGACAGAGACACGGGGAGACAGAGACACGGGGAGACAGAGAGACACGGGGAGACAGAGAGACACGGGGAGACGGAGACACCGGGAGACGGAGACACGGGGAGACAGAGAGACACGGGGAGACAGAGAGACACCGGGAGACAGAGACACGGGGAGACAGAGACACGGGGAGACAGAGACACGGGGAGACAGAGACACGGGGAGACACAGAGACACGGGGGGACGGAGACACGGGGAGACGGAGACACGGGGAGACGGAGACACGGGGGGACGGAGACACGGGGAGACGGAGACACGGGGAGACGGAGACACGGGGAGACGGAGACACGGGGAGACGGAGACACGGGACACGGAGACACGAGACACGGGAGACGGAGTCACGGGAGACGGAGACACGGGAGACGGAGACACGGGAGACGGAGACACGGGGAGACGGAGACACGGGGAGACAGAGACACGGGGAGACAGAGACACGGGGAGACAGAGACACGGGGAGACAGAGACACGGGGAGACAGAGACACGGGGAGACAGAGACACGCGGGGAGACAGAGACACGGGGAGACAGAGACACGGGGACACAGAGAGACAGGGAGACAGAGACACGGGGAGACAGAGACACGGGGAGACAGAGACACGGGGAGACAGAGACACGGGAAGACAAAGACACGGGGAGACGGAGGGAGACAGAGGGAGACAGAGATACGGGAAGACAGAAGAACGGGGAGACAGAGAGACACGGGGAGACAGAGAGACACGGGGAGACGGAGACACCGGGAGACGGAGACACGGGGAGACAGAGAGACACGGGGAGACAGAGAGACACGGGGAGACAGAGACACGCGGGGAGACAGAGACACGCGGGGAGACAGAGACACGGGGAGACAGAGACACGGGGAGACACAGAGACACGGGGGGACGGAGACACGGGGAGACGGAGACACGGGGAGACGGAGACACGGGGGGACAGAGACACGGGGAGACGGAGACACGGGGAGACGGAGACACGGGGGGACGGAGACACGGGGAGACGGAGACACGGGGAGACGGAGACACGGGGAGACGGAGACACGGGGGGACAGAGACACGGGGAGACAGAGACACGGGGAGACAGAGACACGGGGAGACAGAGACACGGGGAGACAGAGACACGGGGAGACAGAGACACGGGGAGACACAGAGACACGGGGAGACACAGAGACACGGGGAGACAGAGACACGGGGAGACAGAGACACGGGGAGACAGAGACACGGGGAGACAGAGGCACGGGGACACACAGAGACACGGGGAGACAGAGACACGGGGACACACAGAGACACGGGGAGACGGAGACACGGGGAGACGGAGACACGGGGGGACAGAGACACGGGGAGACGGAGACACGGGGAGACGGAGACACGGGGAGACGGAGACACGGGGGGACGGAGACACGGGGAGACGGAGACACGGGGAGACGGAGACACGGGGAGACAGAGACACGGGGGGACAGAGACACGGGGAGACAGAGACACGGGGAGACAGAGACACGGGGAGACAGAGACACGGGGAGACACAGAGACACGGGGAGACAGAGACACGGGGAGACAGAGACACGGGGAGACAGAGACACGGGGAGACAGAGACACGGGGGGACAGAGACACGGGGAGACGGAGACACGGGGGGACAGAGACACGGGGAGACAGAGACACGGGGAGACAGAGACACGGGGAGACAGAGACACGGGGAGACAGAGACACGGGGAGACACAGAGACACGGGGAGACAGAGACACGGGGAGACAGAGACACGGGGAGACAGAGACACGGGGAGACAGAGACACGGGGAGACAGAGACACGGGGACACACAGAGACACGGGGAGACAGAGACACGGGGAGACAGAGACACGGGGAGACAGAGACACGGGGAGACAGAGACACGGGGACACACGTGGCATCGACGCCGTGCGTGTGTGTGTGTGCGGGTGGCTGAAGCACAGCAGGTTGGCACAGTAGGGGGCACAGGTGGTGCATCAGCCAGTAGTCATCTCAGTCAGTCGACCCGTGGCACCTGCTGGGTCTGCCCCGTGACCTCCTGCCAGCGGGCGTTCGACACTTCACGTGGTAGCCTCAGGGTGCACATAGCCTGGCACAAGCGTCGTGGTGACGTCACCGCCACTTAGTGGCGAATGGCGGTTGTTGTTGTTGTTGTGACTAATGCGTCTGTCTCTCCCCTCCCCCTGCAGGGCTTCCGAGCGGCGTGTGAGAAGGGGCCTCTGTCTGGACACAAGATCTCCGGCCTGCGATTCGTCCTCACGGACGGCGCTCACCACGCCGTGGACTCGAGTGAATACGCCTTCATGCGTGCCGCTGAGGGTGCTGTCAAGCAGGGTCTGTCAACACCACCAACACAGAGTCCACCACCAACACCACCACCAACACCACCAACACAGAGTCCAACACCACCACCAACACCACCAACACAGAGTCCAACATCAACACCACCACCAACACCACCAACACAGAGTCCAACACCAACAACACCAACACCACCAACACAGAGTCCAATAACAACAACAACACAGAGTCCAACAACAACACCACCAACACAGAGTCCACCACCACCACCAACACCACCGCAGAGAACAACAACAACAGCACCACCAACAGCACCACCGCAGAGTCCAACAACAACAACACAGAGTCCACCAACACAGAGTCCACGGCGCTCACCACGCCGTGGACTCGAGTGAATACGCCTTCATGCGTGTCGCTGAGGGTGCCGTCAGGCAGGGTCTGTCAACACCAACACCACAGAGTCCACCACCAACACCACAGAGTCCAACACCACCAACACAGAGTCCACCACCAACACCACCACCAACACCACCAACACAGAGTCCACCACCAACACCACCACCAACACCACCAACACAGAGTCCACCACCAACACCACAGAGTCCAACACCACCAACACAGAGTCCACCACCAACACCACCACCAACACCACCAACACAGAGTCCACCACCAACACCACCACCAACACCACCAACACAGAGTCCACCACCAACACCACCACCAACACCACCAAAACAGAGTCCAACAACAACAACAACACAGAGTCCACCACCGCAGAGTCCAACAACAACAACACCAACACCACACCAACACCACACCAACACCACCAACACCACAGAGTCCAACACCACCAACACAGAGTCCACCAACACAGAGTCCAACATCAACACCACCAACACAGAGTCCACCAACACAGAGTCCACCACCAACACCACCAACAACACCACCAACACAGAGTCCACCACCAATACCACCACCAACACCACCACCAACACCACCAACACAGAGTCCAACATCAACACCACCACCAACACCACCAACACAGAGTCCAACATCAACACCACCACCAACACCACCAACACAGAGTCCAACATCAACACCACCAACACAGAGTCCAACATCAACACCACCACCAACACCACCAACAAAGAGTCCACCACCAACACCACCAACAACACCACCAACACAGAGTCCACCACCAATACCACCACCAACACCACCACCAACACCACCAACACAGAGTCCAACATCAACACCACCACCAACACCACCAACAGAGTCCAACATCAACACCACCACCAACACCACCAACACAGAGTCCAACATCAACACCACCAACACAGAGTCCAACATCAACACCACCACCAACACCGCAGAGAACAACAACAACAACAACAACAACACCACCACCAACACCACCAACACCACAGAGTCCAACATCAACAACAACACAGAGTCCACCACCGCAGAGTCCAACAACAACAACACCAACACCAACACCACCAACACCACAGAGTCCAACACCAACAACACAGAGTCCACCAACACAGAGTCCAACATCAACACCACCAACACAGAGTCCACCAACACAGAGTCCACGGCGCTCACCACGCCGTGGACTCGAGTGAATACGCCTTCATGCGTGCCGCTGAGGGTGCCATCAGGCAGGGTCTGTCAACACCAACAGCACCACCGCAGAGAACAACAACAACAACAACACCAACAACAACACCACCAACACACCAACACCACCAACACCACAGAGTCCAACAACACCAACAACACCAACACACCAACACCACCAACACACCAACACCACCAACACCACCACCACAGAGTCCACCAACACCACCAACACCACCAACAGCACCACCGCAGAGAACAACAACAACAACAACACCAACAGCACCAACACACCAACAACACCAACACCACAGAGTCCAACAACAACACCAACACCACCAACACCACAGAGTCCACCAACAACACCACCACCACACCAACACCACCAACACCACAGAGTCCAACAACAACACCAACACCACCAACACCACAGAGTCCACCAACAACACCACCACCACACCAACACCACCAACACCAACACCGCAGAGTCCAACAACAACACCACCACCACACCAACATCACCAACAACAACACCACAGAGTCCACCAACAACACAGAGTCCACCAACACCACTGCAGAGTCCACTACCAACAACACCACCAACACCACAGAGTCCACCAACACCACCACCAACACCGCCACCAACACCACCACCAACACCGCCACCACCACCACCACAGAGTCCACCACCAACACCACCACCACAGAGTTCACCACCCCCCACATCACCCCGTGTCTCTCTCTCCCCTCCTGGTAGTGATGAACAAGGCCAGCGTGGTGCTGCTGCTGCCCGTGATGGCGGTGGAGGTGAACGTGTCTCTCTCTCTCCCCCTGGTAGTGATGAGCGAGGCCAGCGTGGTGCTGCTACAGCCCGTGATGGAGGTGAACGTGTCTCTCTCTCTCCCTGGTAGTGATGAGCGAGGCCAGCGTGGTGCTGCTACAGCCCGTGATGGCGGTGGAGGTGAACGTGTCTCTCTCTCTCCCTGGTAGTGATGAACAAGGCCAGCGTGGTGCTGCTACAGCCCGTGATGGAGGTGAACGTGTCTCTCTCTCTCCCTGGTAGTGATGAGCGAGGCCAGCGTGGTGCTGCTACAGCCCGTGATGGCGGTGGAGGTGAACGTGTCTCTCTCTCTCCCTGGTAGTGATGAACAAGGCCAGCGTGGTGCTGCCCGTGATGGAGGTGGAGGTGAACGTGTCTCTCTCTCTCTCCCCCTGGTAGTGATGAACAAGGCCAGCGTGGTGCTGCCCGTGATGGAGGTGAACGTCTCTCTCTCTCCCTGGTAGTGATGAACAAGGCCAGCGTGGTGCTGCTACAGCCCGTGATGGCGGTGGAGGTGAACGTGTCTCTCTCCCCCTGGTAGTGATGAACAAGGCCAGCGTGGTGCTGCTACAGCCCGTGATGGCGGTGGAGGTGAACGTGTCTCTCTCTCTCTCCCTGGTAGTGATGAACAAGGCCAGCGTGGTGCTGCTACAGCCCGTGATGGCGGTGGAGGTGAACGTGTCTCTCTCTCTCCCCCTGGTAGTGATGAACAAGGCCAGCGTGGTGCTGCCCGTGATGGAGGTGAACGTGTCTCTCTCTCTCCCCCTGGTAGTGATGAGCGAGGCCAGCGTGGTGCTGCTACAGCCCGTGATGGCGGTGGAGGTGAACGTGTCTCTCTCTCTCCCTGGTAGTGATGAGCGAGGCCAGCGTGGTGCTGCTACAGCCCGTGATGGAGGTGAACGTGTCTCTCTCTCTCTCTCCCTGGTAGTGATGAACGAGGCCAGCGTGGTGCTGCCCGTGATGGAGGTGAACGTGTCTCTCTCTCTCTCCCCCTGGTAGTGATGAGCGAGGCCAGCGTGGTGCTGCTACAGCCCGTGATGGCGGTGGAGGTGAACGTGTCTCTCTCGCTCTCTCCCTGGTAGTGATGAACAAGGCCAGCGTGGTGCTGCTACAGCCCGTGATGGCGGTGGAGGTGAACGTGTCTCTCTCTCTCTCCCTGGTAGTGATGAGCGAGGCCAGCGTGGTGCTGCTACAGCCCGTGATGGCGGTGGAGGTGAACGCGTCTCTCTCTCCCTGGTAGTGATGAACGAGGCCAGCGTGGTGCTGCTACAGCCCGTGATGGCGGTGGAGGTGAACGTGTCTCTCTCTCCCTGGTAGTGATGAACGAGGCCAGCGTGGTGCTGCTACAGCCCGTGATGGCGGTGGAGGTGAACGTGTCTCTCTCTCTCTCCCCCTGGTAGTGATGAGCGAGGCCAGCGTGGTGCTGCTACAGCCCGTGATGGCGGTGGAGGTGAACGTGTCTCTCTCTCTCCCCCTGGTAGTGATGAGTGAGGCCAGCGTGGTGCTGCTACAGCCCGTGATGGCGGTGGAGGTGAACGCGCCGCTCGAGTTTCAGGGCGTCGTCATCGCCGCCGTCAACCGCCGACGCGGAGTCGTCACGGGGCAGGACGGCACTGAGGGATACTTCACCCTCTATGCAGACGTGCGTGGGGGGGGGGGGGGTCACGTGGGGGGTCACGTGGGGGTCACGTGGGGGTCACGTGGGGGTCACGTGGGGGTCAAGTGGGGGTCACGTGGGGGTCACGTGGGGGAAGACACGTGGGGGACACGTGGGGGAAGACACGTGGGGGAAGACACGTGGGGGACACGTGGGGGAAGACACGTGGGGGAAGACACGTGGGGGGTCACGTGGGGGGTCACGTGGGGGGTCACGTGGGGAGACACGTGGGGGGTCACGTGGGGGGACACGTGGTGGGGACACGTGGGGGGACACGTGGGGGTCACGTGGGGGGTCACGTGGGGGGTCACGTGGGAAGACACGTGGGGGGTCACGTGGGGGGACACGTGGGGGGTCACGTGGGGGTGGTGACACGTGGGGGTGGTGACACGTGGGGGTGGTGACACGTGGGGGTGGTGACACGTGGGGGTGGTGACACGTGGGGGTGGTGACACGTGGGGGTGGTGACACGTGGGGGTGGTGACACGTGGGGGTGGTGACACGTGGGGGTGGTGACACGTGGGGGTGGTGACACGTGGGGGTGGTGACACGTGGGGGTGGTGACACGTGGGGGTGGTGACACGTGGGGGTGGTGACACGTGGGGGTGGTGACACGTGGGGGTGGTGACACGTGGGGGTGGTGACACGTGGGGGTGGTGACACGTGGGGGTGGTGACACGTGGGGGTGGTGACGAGCTAGTGCCCTGTATTTCACCGTGTCCCAGGTTCCGCTCAACGACATGTTCGGATTCTCCATGGAGCTGAGGTCGTGCACGGAGGTGAAATTCACCACTCACCTGCTCACCCACCCGCCCGCTCACCCACCCGCCCGCTCACCCACCCACTCGCTCACCACTCGCTCACCCACCCACTCACTCACCCACCCGCTCGCTCGCCCGCCCGCCCGCTCGCCCACCCGCCCGCTCGCCCACCCACCCGCTCGCCCACCCACCCGCTCACCCACCCGCTCACCCACCCACCCGCTCACCCACCCAGCCGCTCACCCACCCAGCCGCTCACCCACCCAGCCGCTCACCACTCGCTCACCCACTCACTCGCCCAATCACCACTCGCTCACCCACTCAATCACCCATTCACCACTCACTCACCCATCAACCATTCACCACTCACCCATCAACCATTCACCACTCACCCATCAACCGCTCGCTCGCCCACTCACCCGTTCACCCACTCGCTCAACCGCTCACCAATTTACCCACCCACCCATCCCACCCACCCACCTATCCACCCACCCACCTATCCACCCACCCACCTATCCACCCACCCATCCACCCACCCATCCACCCACCCATCCACCCACCCATCCACCCACCCACCCACCCACCCACCCACCCATCCACCCACCCATCCACCCACCCATCCACCCACCCACCCACCCACCCATCCACCCACCCATCCACCCATCCACCCACCCATCCACCCACCCACCCACCCATCCACCCATCGACCCATCCACCCACCCATCGACCCATCCACCCACCCATCGACCCATCCACCCACCCATCGACCCATCCACCCACCCATCGACCCATCCACCCACCCATCGACCCATCCACCCACCCATCGACCCATCCACCCACCCATCGACCCATCCACCCACCCATCGACCCATCCACCCACCCATCGACCCATCCACCCACCCATCGACCCATCCACCCACTCACCCACTCATTCACCACTCACTCACCCATCCACCCCACCCACTCATCAACCGCTCACCCATTTACCACTCACCCGCTCGCTCACCCACTCACTCGCCCATTCACCACTCACTCACCCATCAACCGCTCGCTCGCCCACCCACTCATCCATTCACCCACTCGCTCACCCATCCACCCCCTCGCTCACCCATCCACCCCACTCATCCACCCACTCACTCACCCATCCACCCCACCCACTCACCACTCGCTCACTCACCCATCCACCCCACCCATCCACCCCACCCACTCACCACTCGCTCACCCATCCACCCCACCCACTCACCACTCGCTCACCCATCCACCCCACCCACTCACCACTCGCTCACCCATCCACCCCACCCACTCACCACTCGCTCACCCATCCACCCCACCCACTCACCACTCGCTCACCCATCCACCCCACTCGCCACTCACTCACCCATCCACCCCACCCACCCCACCCACTCACCCACCCCACCCACTCACTCACCCATCCACCCCACCCACTCACCACTCGCTCACCCATCCACCCCACCCACTCGCCACTCGCTCACCCATCCACTCACCACTCTGTCACCCATCCACCCCACCCACTCACCACTCGCCACCCGCTCACCCATCCACCCCACCCACTCACCCCACTCGCTCACTGCTCCACCAACTCACCACCCCCCCCCCCCATCCTCCGTGTGGGCGAGCAGGGCAAAGGAGAGTTCACGATGGAGTACAGAAAGTATGAGCCGTGTGCACCCTCCGTGCAGGAGGAGATTGTCACAAGGCACCTGGAGGCCACGGGCCAGCTCAAGAAAGCCAAGAACTGAGGACTCGCTCACAACCTCGCTCACCCCCCGCATTGTCCACCCCCCGCATTGTCCACCACCTCAACCGCATCGGTAGCAACAACGCCGCAAACGCCCGCCATAGAGCGTGCACCTCCACCATCACCACCACCACCAACCATCACTATTACCACCTCCACCATCACCTCCACCACCACTATTACCACCACCATGGCCATCGCCACCAACCAACCACCTCCACCATCATAACCTACACCATCACCACTATTACCACCTCCACCACCACCACCAACCATCACTATTACCACCACCATCGCCACCTCCACCAACCAACCACCTCCACCATCATAACCTACACCACCATCACCACTATTACCACCATCACCACCATCACTATTACCACCACCATGGTCATCGCCACCACCACCAACCAACCACCTCCACCATCAACCAACCACCTCCACCATCAACCAACCACCTCCACCATCATAACCTACACCACCATCACCACTATTACCACCATCACCACCATCACTATTACCACCACCATGGTCATCGCCACCACCACCAACCAACCACCTCCACCATCAACCAACCACCTCCACCATCAACCAACCACCTCCACCATCATAACCTACACCACCATCACCACTATTACCACCTCCACCACCACCAACCATCACTATTACCACCACCATCGCCACCTCCACCAACCAACCACCTCCACCATCATAACCTACACCACCATCACCACTATTACTACCTCCACCACCACTATTACCACCACCATGGCCATCGCCACCAACCAACCACCTCCACCATCATAACCTACACCACCATCACCACTATTACTACCTCCACCACCAACCATCACTATTACCACCACCATCGCCACCACCACCAACCAACCACCTCCACCATCATAACCTACACCACCATCACCACTATTACCACCTCCACCACCACCAACCATCACTATTACCACCACCATCGCCACCACCACCAACCAACCACCTCCACCATCATAACCTACACCACCATCACCACTATTACCACCTCCACCATCACCACTATCACTATTACCATCGCCACCTCCACCAACCAACCACCTCCACCATCATAACCTACACCACCATCACCACTATTACCACCTCCACCACCACCAACCATCACTATTACCACCACCATCGCCACCTCCACCAACCAACCACCTCCACCATCATAACCTACACCACCATCACCACTATTACCACCTCCACAACCACCATCACCACCACCATCAGTATTACCACCACCATCACTATTACCACCACCATCGCCATCACCACCACCACCACCTCCACCACCACCTCCCTCCCCTCCCCCATTTCACGCGTAGCTCCGCAACGCGGGGAAACTCCGCGCGGTTAACAACCCTAGAGGACGCCAGAGCTCGGGAAATCGTTGGGGTGGTCCTGAAGCAGTTCGACAGCAGCTGCCGCTGGGTTGTTTTTGTTGCACAGCGAGCACACACACAGCGCACACACATACACGCACACACACAGTGCACACACATACACGCACACACACAGCACACACATCGCACGCACGCGCATACACAAGCACGCGCAGCACGCACGCAAGCACACATGCACGCATACACGCGTGCACACAGCGCACCCACGCACAGCGCGCACGCAGAGACGGCTGTGCGTGTTGTTTCAAGATCCTAACTTAATAAAACACGGTTTGTACATGCGGTTTGCACTGCGCGTGGAATTTTT